TTCCTTTGTCACCTCCTTTGCTAAGATACAGTGCTCTCAGGTTTATGGTGACTGCTGGAAAGCAATTTTTTTAAAACACATGAAACCTTTATATACCTCCCCTGCATTATTTTATGTGATTAGATACAGCTTTGTAGATTTGGATGCACATTGTTTAGGGACAAGCCTTTCCTGCATGCTTAGCAGCATTTTCATCCCTGTCATAAGTTTCAGGGCTGAGTTTTGGCAAACTACGGTAGTTTCTAGGCCTATGCTCTGGTCAGCCTAGACTCACTTTTAACTGTGATTCAAAGAATATGTTTCCCAGTCAGTGGCACTTGCAACCTGGATATTTGAAGACATACCAGGTATTTTCTGAGATAGGAAAATGTGTTTCCGAATGCTTATCTTTTTGTCCTGGCACTACCATCACAGATGACTATAGGCTAGGAATGAGGAGCCCTTGGATGTTGCTGGATTCCAGATCCCACTGAATTATGGAATTCACCATAAAGAATCCCACTGTGGCAAATAATCAGGGATGGTGGGAACTGGAGTCCAATGGCATCTAGTATATCATAAGATCACTGACTCTGGCGCAGGATTATTATTGTTGTCTGCCTTCAAGTTGATCTTTGGAAACCTAAGGTGATCCTATCCTAAGGGTTTCTTGGCAAGATTTATTCAGAGGAAGTTTGCCATTGCCATGCTCTGAGGCTAAGAGAGAATGATGTGCCAGGGTCACCTCATTGGTTTCAATGGCCAAGCAGGGATTCAAATCCTAGTCTTCCAAAGTCCTAGTCCAATATATTTACCTCTGATACAAGGACGTAGAGGCAAATGTGCCATTCTAATGAAGAGGCACTGTCCTAGACTGATTTAGCATTTTCCCCATTCAAATGGTGTATCGAACAAATGTCAACTTTTCTTTTGGCCACAGCAGAGCACTTTTCTGTAATATCAATTTCAGCTCAGTCACAGATGGTTACTCTAACTGCATTATATACTCAGTTATTTAGCAGGATGATATTCTAATTTTATATGTGTTCACAAATTTTGCAGGGAATTCCTCTAGCTTTGGTTTGGTCATTAGCATAAAGGATAATCTACATTTTTATCATGTTATTTTAGATTCACTAAGTCCTTCAAAACTGGACAGCATATTTCTTATAAAGTACAATCTGAAAATGTTAATAGATGTAAGAGACATCAAAGCAAGAGCAAAAAATAATAATAAACGTGACTCTCCTTGTAAAGAAAGCAAAGTCAAAGCATGGTGGTATGCAAATTTTAACAGGGAAAATGCTAAATCTGTAAGTAGAGATCCTTAATTGGAATGACACATTTGTCTCACATGCTTGCTTTTTGAAAATTGAGTACTGGGCAGAAATTCAAGCTAATATGATGGAAATCCGTAGGAGGAAGCATTTTTTACTCAGCTCTTTTGGATTCATAGGCAGTGAACTAGTATAAATTGGTGAAAAGTAATAAACATTGTTTTTTAGAAAACAACAAAGAATCTAGAGACACCATAAAGATCGCCAAAGTTATTGTGGAATGCACAACTAGTTAGCTTTCAAGTACCATAAGACGCATAGTTGTTTTTGCTGCAGGGATTATTTACCTCTGAGTTTGTTTTTGGCTGTCTGTAGCATCCACTTCTTTGCAACATGGCAATAAAGCCAACCAGAAGACACTTGGCACCTGAAGAAGAGTAGCAAATGACATCTGTCTCCAAAGTAAAAAACACAGTAACTAAGACAAGTGATTTTGGCATCTAAGACCAAAAATTCCACAACTGCCTTTCTCCATTTTCCTCTTAAATCATTAAAAAAAACCCACAATAATAATTACTTAATAACTAATAGTATTCTGCCTTTTTTGGATACCTCAAACCTGCTGTTTGAGGTAGCTGACTTGCGGTGCCTAATGGCAGGGCTGGCCCCAAGAGTCAAAGAATAATACCATATACTTGCTTGGATCCTATTCTATTATTGCTGGTATGTGTATGTGTATATGTAAGTGTGGGTATGTATGCCATCTCCCCCCCTCCACCTGTAGACCCCTGCACCAAGTCTTATCCAACATATGCTGCCAGTCATGTTATTGCAAATAATTTGACAAATTATAAACTGAGAAGCAGTCAGTGGTGGCTCAGAGAAATGTGCAGATAAAAGCATGCATGCATGCTGTGTACCTTCAAGTCACTTCCCACTTATGGCAACCCTATCATGGGGTTTTCTTGGCCAGATATGTTCAGATTTGTTTGCAATTGTCATCCCCTGAAGCTGAGAACCCAAGGTCACCCAAGTGGGGTTCATGGCCAAGCAGGAATTGAATCCTGGTCTTCAGCGTTGTAGTCCAAAACTCAATCCACTACGCCATGGTGGCTCGCACGAGAACTAAAAGGCATGCACTAGAATGAAATCCCTGGAAATACAGTCCTGTGATGATTTTCCTGAGAGTAAGCCCCACTGAACTCTATAGATTTCTGAATAGACACACAAAGGAATTCACAGTTACTGTAATAAAACAATGGCTGGGAATAGGATTCCCAGACAACAAAAGTCTGTGAGCACCTGCAGGATAATCCAAATGGTTACCTCTCTTCAAAATGGACAAGGGCTGAAATCCTACATTAGTGGTTCTGCAGAAAATATCAGCACATACGAAATTATCCACTGATTCAGCTACACAACCCTTGTGCTGAATGGCAGCGTTGTATAATCCTTGTCTTGAAAGGCAATGTCAGGTAAATCAGCAGTTCTCAAACTTTGATCTTCCAGATGTTTTGGACTCCAGCTCCCAGAATCCCTGACCAAGCTGAATGAGGATTCTGGGAGCTGAAGTACAAAACACCTGGATGAAAAAAAAATTGAAAACCACTGATACAAATAAATATGCAACCACTAATTTTGACAAGGGCAAAAAGAATGTGCGTACCCAAGGACACTGTATGAACAACTCAGCTTCCATGTCCTTTAAATGGATGTGGCCATTGCCCACTTAACAAGATTGTCCAACTATATCTTCAGAGGAACACATGTAAGACACCAAGAGGATTCATATTTTTAAGCTTTTTACAGAAGCAAACATAACCAACAAACAATGTATCTGAGATCCAATACAATGAGGTGTATCAAGTTTGTGATTCATAACTATCCTAGTAAGAAATGAATGGCTGACACAATGACAATACAAATAAAAATGGCATCTTTGTGTTTATTTCTTTAATAGATATCCCCCCTTTTTCCTAGCATGGGACCCAAGGTGTCATGAGACTCCCGTCTCACAATATCTCTGCATCCTGCCCTGTGAGCCTCTTTTATTTTGTTTAATATTTCTCTTCCCCTCCACAAGATATACAGCTGTGGAGATACAGAGTCTTTTTGTGTCTTAGGTTTCTGAGATGTCACAGACTTGCTATCCAGCATCAGGACCTTTATAAGGGATCTCTTGAAGGAAAGTTAAACCAATTTAATGTCCCTGAGGATGCCAGCCACTGAGAAATAAACCCTCTATTGACTGTGTTATCTTGACCTTACATCGTGGGTCCTTTTGTTTGGTCACACTGGAATGTGATGGGATGTTGGTAAGTTGGCTTGATCTAGATTTAATTCAAGCCAAATTTTCCATCTGGGAATGGAAGAGAGTTCACATTAATAGAGCAAGGTTCTCTCTTCTTCTTCCCTTCATAGCCCCCTAAAAATTCCTAGAGTCTTGGGAGTTGGGAGACCCTTGGAAATTCTGTAAGATGGTGCAAAGAGCTGTAAGTGGATGTGAAGTTGGTGGAAATCAGCCATGCCTTTTGTGAACAGAGAAGCAAAAGTTTGTATGTTTGTGTCCTTCCATCTTGGAAATCTAGATAGTGTACATATGTGAATGATGAGTCCCAGAGCTGTTTATCATCCACGATGTGGCCACATCAGAACTTGAGCTGGATCCAAGCCATTGCTTTAGGTTGGGATGAGCTACATGTAAAGGCCAAACGCAGCCCCTGGCCCATCTCTGCAGACCCTCCACCCCAAAGCCACCAAATATCAGCAGCATGGCAACAAAAATGACAAAGAAGGGAAGAGGCTGCACAGATTCTAGACAGATATTGACTGATGATATTCAAGTGTAATACACTGAAGGAAGCTGCCATGACTCTGGGAGCACCTATTAATCACTCATTTCACATGCTCCTGTATTCAGAAGAAAAAGGCAAAAGGCAAAAAGCTACTTACAAGAATGCTCTCCTGTTGAAACAGGAGAAACATTCCAGAGTTTCTTAAGTCTGATTTTGCAACACTTTCCAGATGGTGAGATCACTGAGCTTTGAGGAATAGGATGCGGGATTCAGTTATATGTAACTCTCTGATAATCCATGGAAAGAGTGGAGTGGAGGGAAGGAGAGATAGGATAGAGAGACCGAAGCACTTGCCCCAGCCTTTTCTGCTCCACTTTGCCTTGTCATTGTGAAGATATCTTTCCTCTCAACACAGAGAACTGCCTTTTCCTGGCACCGCATCTGTTTTCAACAGTGTACACACCAAGACTGCTGACAGCAAGGAGCCTGATTGCGTGCTCCTTGACCCAAGTCCCAAGCCTGTTTTTTCTGGCTGCTCTTTCCACTCTCTTCAACTTTGCCTGCACTAGAGGGACCCTGAGAAAAGGCTGATAGCATTGTCCTTTTCACTCTCTTCAGCTCCATTACTCATGGGGCGAGGAATGAACAGTGTCTTACACCAGCCAGACTACCACTGTTTGATAATGCTGTACAATACTCTTGTTATCTGTTGGCCTTCCCATTTCACCTTTCAGTTTGGTGATTATCGCTATTTTTATTAGAGCATCAGTGTGATATAGTAAATAGAGTGCTGCATTTAAGAGTCCTGGGGAAAGTCTCAGTGTAGAGGGAGAGCCAGCAAAACAGACATTTAAAATGATTTAAAACAATTTAAGATGATCTATCAACAATTTAGAACAGTCCAAAATTACTTAAATCACCTTAGGACAGTGTCTAAAGTGTACACTAAAGTTTGGTGTAGTGGTTTAAGTGTTGGATTATGACTCTGGAGACCAGGGTTCGAATCCCCGCTCAGCCATGGAAACCCACTGCATGACCTTGGGAAAGTCACACTCTCTCAGCCTCAGAGAAAGGCATAGGCAAATACCTCTGAACAAATCTTATCAAAAAAAGTGATCAGTTTGCCTTATGGTCATCACCATACGTTGGACATGGCTTGAAGGCAAACAACTACAGAAGCTAAGTGTACATTATATAAAAGCAGTATAGCCTAGTCACACATGAACCCTAGGTGCCAAAGGCTTTGTTAAGAACCCAGGATTTAATCTGGTGCTAAAATTCAGCCAGACAAAAGCAAGGCATTCCACAGCCAGGGTGCCATAATAGAATAAGCCCTCCTCCGTGTCTCTACTTAAGATACTGCTCCCACTGGTGAAACATAGAAGAAAGTTTTCCTAGAAGACCTCAACTGTTTTCTGGTATACATTGGGAGAAGTGCTCCTTCAAGTATCAAGGTCCCAAATGATTTAGGGCTTTAAATTTTGTCACAAATTCCTTGAATTCACCCTGAAAGTGTGTTGTGTCAGTTAGTGTAGTTCCTTCAAAATTGAGGTCATATGGTTCCTTTAAGTCAGTGGTGGTGAACCTATGGCACGCGTGCCAGAGGGGGCACTCAGAGACCTCTCTGTGGGCATGCATGCCATCGCCCCAGCACAGAGTTCACCAGAATTTGTTACTAGAAAGCCAGAGGGATGTGGCACTTTGCAATAAATAAGTGGGTTTTGGGTTGCAGTTTGAGCACTCAGTCTCTGAAGGGTTCACCATCACTGCTATAAGGTATCCCAGCTAGCAATATAACTGCTGTCTCTGTATCATCTTCAAGAGCATCTCCAAGTAGAGTGTTTTGCAGTAATCTAAATGAGAAGTTGCATTGTATTGACTGCAGTATCTAGTTTATCCTTTCCAGAAAATACTATAGTTGGTAGGGTCAGATGAAGTTGGCCTCTGCCACCTCTGGACATTTGGGCCTTGAGTAACTTGGTCAGATCCAGGTTTACTCCAAGACCACACACATCTGCTTCTTTACATCAAATTTAGCCCCACCCAGAGCAGGGAAGTCACAAACTAATCCACAGAACCACCATCCAGCTCATAACAGAGAGCATCAGCGCAGACTCACCCATCTCTGATGACAAGGTAAAATTGAGCTGAATGTCATCAGTATATTGAGGCACCCAGCCCCAAAACTGATGACATACTGATGGTTTCACAAAGAAATTAAATAGCATGGTGAAAAGAGAGGAAATATGTGATACTGCAATCCCCCAATGCTACTCTGTAGGTGGTCCTGTTGGAAAGAGTGGAACCAATGTAATACTGTGCCTCCTGCATCATTCCACAGAGTCTATATAGGCTACGGATCCATGGTGGATGATATCAACAATCAGAGATCCAGGAAAATCAACCGGAGGGGCACTCCCCCTCTCATCTGGAGCAAGTCAGCCTGAGTGGCCAAGGCTGTTTCAGTGCCAAAACCCAGCCTGAAACAAGACTGAAATAGGACTAGATCGGGGTGGCAAAAGTGAGGCCTGCAACATATGGCCCCAAGACCCCTAGGGAACATAGGAGGGCCTTTTTAGTGACCTCCACAAAGTTTGTTTTAAATGGGAGGGTGTCAGGGGAGTGCAGTTCTCCGAGGTCCTATGGGAGGCCAATGTGATCAATTTCCTATAAGAATGCTGCTCAGTAAATGTGGGTCTGTGCAATAGGGTGGGAGTGCTCACAGATGTCAGACACATACTCTGATGGTCGGCAGTTCGAGGCCCAAGTGCTGCGTGACAGAGTGAGCTCCCATCACTAATCCCAGCTTCTGCCAGTCTAGCAGTTTGAAAGCATGTAAAAGTGCAAGTAGATAAATAGATACCATTTCTGTGAGAAGGTAACAGTGCTCCATGCAGTCATGTTGACCATATGACCACTGGCATTGTCTTTGACAACACTGGCTCTTTGACTTAGTAATGGAGATGAGCACTGCACCCTAATAAATAATAATAATAAACTTTATTTTTATACCCCGCCTTTTGCCTTTGGGCAATCAAGGCGGCTCACAACAATTGTATATAAAACAAATCCATAACAAACAGTAATAACATAATAAAACAATATAATAAAACAACAGTCACAACTTGACAACCCTGTCAAAACGGGAAACCCTTTCCTTTACCTTTGCTCACAGGTGTTTAGGTCCAGGGAGGTCCTCCACCACCTTTTTCAAGGAGCAAGAAATTCCTCCAACATAGTGAGGTATTTGCCACCCCCTGGATCCACGTAGTCAATACATCTCAGCTTGATTTTACTAGCCAAGTTGAGCAAAGCTAACATGTATTAATATGTCTTGCCCAGATTATCACACCACAGCAACTGAAACTGATGCAAGAAATCTCACTAGATGGTGCTATAGAAACCTTCTGAGACATTACCGTAACTGTGGTGTCATGTTATGCATTAATATGAACAACTTTCTTTGTAAAGTTCCTAGCAAATTTGTCCTAGCAGGCTACCCTGGTCTCTCTGAGTTCAATCCCAGCAAGCCCTTCACCACTAAAAACAATTCTGCTGGATGAAAGCAAAGAAGAAATAACAGTAGCAAAACAAGAAATTTTGCTCTCCTCTCTGCCATGGTTCTTCTAGCACTTTCTTTCCATTTAGCTATTATTTATAATCAAGAGAGAGAACCTTGAACACCATTTGTTGTTGTTATGTACCTTCAAATCTACTCTGGTTTGTTTATGTTGTTTGTTGTTGTGTGCCTTCAAGTTGTTTCCGACTTATGGCAAACCTATTAAGGGGTTTTCTTGGCAAGATTTGTTCAGAGGAGATTTGCTATTGCCCTCTCCTGAGGCTGAGAGCATTTCATGGCCAAGATGGGGATTGAACTCTGGTCTCCAGAGTCATAGTCCAACACTCAAACCTCTACGCCATACAAGCTCTATGGTGAAACTATCTTAGGTTTTATTTGACAAAATTTATTCTGAATTTATCTTTATTGAGAGGAGAATTGCCATTGCCTTCCTTTGAGGCTGAGAGAGTGTGAGTTGCCCCAGGCCATCCAGTTGGCTTCCACGGCTGAGACATGGTCTCCTGGGGTCCTAATCCAATACTCAAACTGCTACATCACTAATTCTTGGACTTAATTAGGAAGCTTCTAGAAGAACTAACCACTCTTTCTTTTCTTTTTTGCTAGAATGATCTTGGAGAAGAAATGGGAGATGCAAAAATCAGACACCTCTTTTACAGTGTCAGCCCTTACCACAATGGCCAAATGTTCAATACATAGGACAAAATATAAAATGGAGACATGTAGATTCTTGGCTAGCCTCTCTGAGCAACTTAAGTTCTTCAGTAAAAAATCCATTCATGCTTAGCCTGACAGCTGGATTACCATAGGAGACAATTTTTCCTTCTTAGAAATCTACCCACTGTCACCTACAATTATTTTAAGACACCTTGAAGAAAAAGCCAGTCAAGATGATCAAAAGCCTTCACTGTGTGCAGAGAAAGCAAAGTCCAAGTGCAGACAACCTACCGCTTTTCTGATATTTTGAACTACCAACTCCCATCAGGCCCAGTGACATGTAGGGAAATAATGGGAGTTGTAATCCAAAACATCTGGAGGGCAGCAGATGGTCTACTCTTCCTTTAGACAATTTAGATGTAATACATTAAACAGTTACCTCAATTTGATGGCCAATGTCCTTCTATAAGGCCCTTTTCATCTTAAAATACATATGGTTATGGAGCATTTCATACAGTCTGCTAGCTAATACTGTGAGGCAGATTTTAAAATCTTGGCTCACTAGAAAAATGGGGCAAATAAGATTTCCACAAGGAAATCATATTTTCTTTTCTAAGGAAATGCACCAGAACATCTTGACTTCCTTGAAGGTCTTTGGTAATACAATGTTTTTGATAACATATTTAATAGCCTTAGCTCCCGTCAATTCTTTAATAACTTGTGTAATTCTTTTTAGTAATCCATATTTTTTTTGTTATTTTAAAGTATGTAAGTAGTTAAGCTGGCCTCTGCTGTCACACCAAAGTTTCCAAACACACTCTGTGCTGGATAGAGAAGCTAAGAGTCTTTAAAGAGCTTAGAATGGTGCCACTATCCTCCTAGGAATGATTTTGTGAGGATTAAAGTGACTTCATAATAATTAAAATCCTTATGAGTGTTGCATATTATTACCATTTATAAATAATGGTTGTGTAAGCCTTGAAAAGGATAATTCTGCCAATAGCACACTTGCTAGTAAACTTGCTAGTAAAATTTACTACAGGGGAAGGGGCAGCATTTTCTGCTTTAATTAAAAATTATTCTACATCAGCATTCAAATTTAATTCTAATCAATCTTTTATAAACTTCCTTAGAACTTATCCTCTTTTAATTAAGTTATTTAAAATGTTAGCTTGGCTGTTTCTTCAATCTTCCTTTCTCTAGAACTGAGCTTCGTCACAGCAAAATATCTCTTCTCCACCTTGTGAGAGCCCCCCAACCTTCACACCCAAAATAGCAAATCATGCCCCCAGAAGCCTTGCAAACATAATTCTTCTCTCTGGCCTGTTTTTGGCTGGGAAGGTTTGTAAAAAATAGAAGTGACTCTTGTCACTTCTTGTAGCTAAAAAATGCTTCTACTAGCCTATAACAGTCCTGAGAAAGAACATTTGAATAGCATATCCTACCTTTCTGGAATCATGATTTGCCCATTTTGGGAAGGAGCGATTTTTTTCAGGAAGGTAAGAAATGCAGCCTGCTGAGTTCTGGAGGAAGGCAAAAGTGGGCCCTGGAATACTGTCCAGCTCTGGCGATGGGATGATGCTGAATATCACACTAAAGGCCTTATCACATAAGAAAAGGAAGCCAAAACAGAGCAGGAGAGTAGCAGCTTTCCCTGTGCCTCTCTCCACATGCCATCGTAGCACTTATGTTCTCTTCCCGAGGGAGACGGTTGTTAAAAGGGTACCATTGGTCAAACTGATTTTTTCCAGTGTGACAAAAGGCATACTTTTACAACTGTTTCC